CTGCCCACCTTAGCCTCCCAAAGTGCTGGGATTGTAAGTGTGAGCCTCTGCACCCTGGCAGACTTCTATTTCTTAATGCAAATGGCTGGCTGGCTCCTGGTAGGTTATAGATTCCCTCCAGAACTTGCTAGGCTGAAGTGATGGTGTGAGGCTGGAGGTACTTCTGGGGCTGGAGGGACATCTCGAAAGACGGTTTGCCAGTCCTATCTCTCCTGCTCTAGAAGGCCAGACAGAAAACTTAGGGAAGAACAGTGAGAGCAGTGAACAGTTTGGGCTCAGGTTTGTCACAGCCAGTGATGCTTCAGCCTTCCTGCTTTCCTCTCTTCCGCGCCTTCATGCCACTGTGAATTGAACTAAGGGGATTATAATGAGAGGATTCACTTGGGTTCATTCTCCCTGCTTGTACATTAAAATCATAGGTGGAAATAGAAGAACCCCTAAAAGAGAACTCGAGGTGTGTGGGTTGAAGATCTATAACAACTTGACCCATTAATCTGAAATAGAGAGGTTCATGTGATGCCCACAGGAGGCACGTGCCTGTTGAAAACCTTTCTCTTTCCCGCTTATTCTCTTTCCACTTGGCTAATTTAAACCAACAAAAATCATCCTCAATCTAAATAATCAATTTTCTTGCATTTGCAAAGTACTTAATATTCTTCAAGTTACTTATGTATATCCTATCCCCTAAACATCATAATCCTATGAGCTAAGTGGTATTATCCCCAGTTTACAGATGAGGAAACTAAACCGAAAAATGAAGCACCCTTTCCGAGGGCACAGAGCCATTAAATAGCAAAACCAAGTCCAGCTAGAGCTAAGATCTCTTGAGTCTGTCCAATTCTTGTTTGATTCCTGGCCTCTATTTTCTCCACTCATTTATTCAACAAATACTTAATGAGTGCTTTCTATGCCCTAGGCACTGAGGACACAGTGGAGAGAAACACAGACCTGGCACCAGCCCTCATGGAGTAATATAGTAGAAAGATAGTAAACTATAAAAATCACACAGCCTCAGTGTTTAATCTTAAAAAATACATACCTTCCCTTGGTATGTCACATGCACCTAAAGACCTAGCTTAACAAAACATACCCCATTATTCCAGACACTCCAACATGGTCATTCAGCCTCTCCCCTTATCCCACTTTAGCTACACCAACCCAACACCTTTGGTGCACTACAAGGAGGGACCCCTCACCTGATGTCCAAATTGGTTGCAAGGGAAGCCAAGGACCACCAGGCGCCTGGGAAAGCGGCATTGCAGCTCGTTGAGCTGGGTGAAGTCCCGAGTGGTTGTGCCTCAGAGCGAAGCCACATTCTCAATCAGCACGGCCCTGCCCCGGAACGTATTGAAATCTACCTTCTCCCCATCCAGGCTGATGGCACTGAGGTCATAGAAGGACTTGGCAATGAAAGCCATGGTGAAGCGCAGAGTGAGCCCCGCAGAGAGGCCTGAGCCCCTTATGAGTCTATTCGAGGTGTGGGGAGGAAGGAGGAGCTAGGAAGGAGGACAGAAGGATCTAACAATGGAGCTTTGAGCATCCCCAGGATGACTTAGCAAAAACAGGCCCCCACCTGTAAGTGCTGTTTGAACAAGGAGGTTTGCTCCTCCTATTAACAGACTGAACAAAGCCGCCTCCCCACCCCACCCTGCTGCACCCTGGGAAGGGCCAATTTGATATCTATGAGCAGAGGTAAATAATTCACTACTTACAGGAAACCAGAGCCCTAAAGGTCGAATGGAGAGGAAAAAAAGGGAGGGAGGGATGCAGGATTGACTCCTACTTGGCCCCATCAAGCTGTTCTCACTTGACACAGACATTTATTGAATGCCTGCTGAGTGTCAATCTCTGAATTGTACAGAGAGAGGGCAGGGTCTGCGGAGATCTGAAAGGTAAAGAGAACTGAGCCTCCGGTCCACAGGACTCAGATGACAACTGAAATATACATATTCCTGTTCACGTTCTTTTTGTTGCTTTCCACCAGGACAAAATCAAAGGGACCCTTAGGAGGAGAGCATGTCATTTTCTAGGGGAAAAAACAAGCTTTCAGTGCCTCAGCTCTTGCCAGGCTGAAGAGACAAAGTTGTGTTTATCCTGAGAAGTTTTTCAGTGTGTGGTGCCACTTGTCCTGGAGAACACACCGGCCTCTGCCCCTGCACTGTACCGTCTCCTATATTATATCCCCCACCTCCACCTCATCCCCCAGCCCCCAAGTCATGAGGCTCAGTCGTTGCCGCGAGAATGGTGAAGAGGAGTCACAGAACAGGTGGGTGAACTGCACCTACCTCCCTCTCAGACAGAGATTCAGTCCCCAAGACTTTTCAGAGCGGGTTTGTGCTGGTCACCTTCCCAGAGAAGGAAGTGTGGAGGAAGTTGAAACTGCTGTTGTTCCAGACGCAGGCAGGCCACCCTGATGCTTTCAGCAAGAGCCATGCAGTGCATCGCAGGACGTCTGCTAAGGGCCATCTCAGAGGACCCCTGGAAGCCACAGAAACTGAAAAGACCCTAAGCCACTTTATTCTTCCAAGCACCCGCCAACTCAACAAGTTACTCTTTTAAAATGCCTTGAGCCGGGCGCGGTGGCTCAAGCCTGTAATCCCAGCACTTTGGGAGGCCGAGGTGGGCGGATCACGAGGTCAGGTGATCGAGACCATCCTAGCTAACACGGTGAAACCCCGTCTCTACTAAAAAATACAAAAAACTAGCCGGGCAAGATGGCGGGCGCCTGTAGTCCCAGCTACTCCGGAGGCTGAGGCAGGAGAATGGCGTAAACCCGGGAGGAGGAGCTTGCAGTGAGCTGAGATCTGGCCACTGCACTCCAGCCTGGGCGACAGAGCAGACTCCGTTTCACAAAAAATAAAAATAAAAAGCCTTGATTTCTTCCTCAGTAAAACTAGCAATGGGGTTTGACCTAGCTTTGGGATTTTAGAGTGAAATTTCAATAACAAAGCAAATGTTTACTAGAGTGTTTTCACAGGGTGTCATCCATTGGGAACTGTCTCCTTGAACAAAGAATAAGCAAGTCTGGGGAGCAGCTGGTCTTGAGAATCTGATTTGTTGAGATGAGATGAAGGAGCTACTCGCCAGGGAGCACCGACCGAGCTGCCTTGCAGCTTTTCTATGGCTGTTCAAGTACATAGGGACCATGTGTCTCAGCTGACTGCTCCCTAAAAACAAGTTTCCATTACCTAAGTGGGCAGAAGGAGTGACAGTCAGTGTAGGGGGAAGTGTGTCCCCTGCTGAAGCTGGGTGGAGTTCCTAGAAACAACCAATAAGAGTCCCTACCAAGCCACTGAGTCAAAAGGACTTGGCACTGATAGTGGGCAAAACTGTAACCTGCCAGATTTATGTGCATACCAAGAGCTTCCCACTAGTACTCTCTGGGCCTCCAGAGACACCTCTTATTCTCTGCTCTTTTGCAAGCCTTCTTCAAGAAAGCCATAGGAGTTCCTGAGCTTCTGTAGTGGGGGGTTCCCTCTTCCTTAGGTACATGCCATCCCTTTTCTCCTGGTGTGACCTTGGACCCTTTAGACTCTTTTTTTTGAGACGGAGTCTCACTCTGTTGCCCAGGCTGGAGTGCAGTGGTGCGATCTCGGCTCAGTTCTCACCTTTCCTAATGGAATATACTTGGTGAGGCTCTCCTAAAATATCTCTGTCTCCAAGTTTACCTCAAACTGGCCTCACTTTCCGAAAGCTTACAACTTTTAAGCATACACTAAACAGCGTGTGATTCTCATGGCTTTCTGCAGGACAGTGCTTGCTCTGGACACAGCACTGGCTTAGGCAGAAAGCCTGGGTTGGTAGTTCTTAATTCTGACTATAAATGAGAATTGTTTGTAGGGATTTTTCTAGAGATGCCAAAACTTTGCCCTCCAGTGATTCCAATTCAGTGGTTTCCAACCACAATTCTGCCACTGTTACTTGGGACCCTTAGGCAAATCTTTAAGCTCTTTTTATTGAGACAGGGTCTCTGTCTGTCACCCAGGCTGGAGTGCAATGGGGCAACTGCAGCCTTGACCTTCTGGGCTCAAGTGATCCACTGGCCTCAGCCTCACAAGCCACCACCCTCAGCTAATTTTTTCTAGACGGTGTCTGTGTTGCCCAGGCTGGTCCCAAACTCTTGGGCTCAAGCAATCCTCCTGCCTCAGCCTCCCAGAGAGTTGGGATTACAGGCATGAGCCACTGCACCCGGCCAAATCTTTAAGTTCTCTGAGCATCTGTTTCCTTGCCTGTGGGACATGGATAGATAACCACCCTCCCCATCTCACACAGTGATGGTTAGGGTCAGAAGAGTTTATCTATCACTAGTGCCCTGTAAAGTGTAGTGAAGATCTTAAGACTACTATTGTCCTGCATTGTCCTACTCCTTTCTTCATTCAATCCTTATCCCCAATATTCTCCACCTCCATCAATTCCATATCCCAAAGTATGAAATACCTGCAGTCCTGAGCTCCCAGTCTGCCTCTGCTCCCCTGAGGTATCCAATCACAAATCTGAGATTATCCAGTCCCTCTTCATGCCTTCAGGAAGACCCATTCCTCACCCACACAAACAGATGAGACCATCTTGGCTTTAAAACCTGCTCATTCATCCTGGCTAACATGGTGAAACCATCTCTACTAAAATGACAATGGCGTGAACCCAGGAGGCAGAGCTTGCAGTGAGCCGAGATCGCACCACTGCACTCCAGCCTGGGCAACAGAGCGAGACTCCGTCTCAAAAAAAAACAAAAAACAAAACAAAAAAAATATTCCTGCTCATAGATGTTCAGCATCCTCTCAATAACTGTGTTTCATCTTATTTCTGCAGTGCCAGGGCAACGGGGCTTTTCTTTGGGCCTCCCTGCAGGTGGCGCTAGGGAAGGTAGAGAAGGGAAGACAACTGCTGTTGCCTTCATCACTTCTGGAGCCGCTTCTACCAGCACTGCCTCTCTCCCTCCCACATCACTGCCAGGGTCCAAGTGAGACCTACCCCCAGGGACTCATCCAGGCAGCCACACCGGTGGTTTGAAATAGTCTTTATTTTGTAAACATCTGTGTTTAAAATAGATGAACCCTGCTCACAATTCATATATGGACCCAAGACACAGTACACGAAGTTCACCCGTCACAGGGAGATAGTGGGGGCTCAGGAGCAGGTGGCGTGCCTGGGGCTGGCTGGAGTCTCAATACAGCAGGTGCAGAGGTGGTGACGAGTAAACAGGCCAGCAGAGCCTGCTCAACAGTCTGGGCCTCAAGACATGCCCCAGGCCACCAGAAGTTTAGGGTGAGCGTAGCTACACCCTAAAATCCCGATTCTCCTTCTGCTCCCGTACCTTTTCCCAGTCATGGCCCTTGTGGGGATAGGGCCTATCAGTCTATAGAATCCCGATTCCATGTTTTCCCTTCCAGAACCCCTAGGGTACAATACAAATATAGTCCTTCTTTCCTGAAGGGGCTAGGAGAGAAAGACAATGAATGGCACCCTGCCTGACCTTCAAGGAAAGCTGAAATACTGGTCCATAGGTTGGAGCCACTGCCCAATATAACTTCTCAAGTCCCTGGCTGAAGACAGACTGAGGGCTGGCATCACCCACCTCCCTAGCCCCAGTGTGATGTGGCATAGGTCTTGGTACCAAGGAGTCCATCCTCAAGGAAGCAACTCCAGCCTAGTCACAGCTTCAACCTAGAGTCAGCTCTCTCCGTTTCTCATTAACCAGTGATTTATAACTTCCTGCTCTCCTTTGCTTTCCACTATCTAACCCATACCCTGTCCCTAAGTCCTGAGCCACCCTCTCCTGCTGTTTCCTGGTTTGGTAAGTCAGGAGGAAAGGTTTGGTGGTTCTATCCCCACCTCTTTTTGGAGGAGTAAGGAAGTGGGGTTCTTACCCTTCACATATGTGTGCCCTGGATTTTGGTCCTTAGTTGATGAATGCTCAATACCCAGTTCTTTGTTTTGGCTGCAGCCACGCAATGCAGCTAATGTGTGGCTTAAGAACAGCTCTCTTCCTAGGCCTCGCCCACCTTGGGAAGGTGGGCAGAAACCCCAGTAGGACTGGTAAATTACTTGTTCCATCTTCAAAGGGCCTCCTACAAGCTACTCTTGGGCCATATGGGGTTAAAGAAACTTCCTGAACATAGCACTCTGGAGGAGGGAGTCCTCTTCCCTCCACCTGTAGCCACAGTGCAGTTGGCAAACCCTCAAGCCTATGGGGAGCTGGAGGGCAAGATGAGCGCTTTGTCTTAAAGGCCGAAGAGAACAGCACCAAGCGTTTCTACCCAGGGCCTTCCTTCTCTCTTCCCATGAAGGATTTGCCCTTTTCCCATAAACTTTGGGTCCCAGGAGAACCTTGGTTGCTGAAGGCTGGGCTCAGTCCTCTGCCTGGGAGTCTGAGGAAATGCTCTTCTTACCTAAGAAATGGAAGATGGGGCCCAGGAGGCCCTGCTGTTGCTACATTCCCCTCTGCTGTGCAAACTGCCATCCCTGGCCAGCTCTCCCTTGTTCTTAACCTGATATAAGTCCTTCATTTCCAAATGCTGCCCTTTCTGGAGTGCATGGTTGGCCTGACAGTGTCACTGACCCCAGGGCTCTCCTTGCCCCTGGAGTACCCACAGGCCTTGGTCCACGTCTTTAAATTCAGGAGTCAGGTGGAGAGAAATTGTGTTCATGCTGCATGGGAGGTAGAGAATGGAGGTGACTTTTTATCCCTGCCACCCCTCATTTTGTTTCCTTCTCTGAAGCACCTGCCTCTGAGCTCACTTCCCCAAAGGGGCAGGCGGGCAGCCAAGCAAGGGCAAAGCTCTGGAGGGGGAGTGGGTAGAGGTAGGGCGGCCCCAGGCTCAAGGACTCCCCGGTTGCCGTTTCCTTCCTACCTCGATGCTCCACTTTCGCAGGTCACTGGGGAGGCAGGCCCATGGCACATGAAGGACAGTGGGGAGGGTAAGAGGAAGAAGCACCCTGTAGCCTTTGGCCCACCCACGAGGCAGGGTGGAGGGTTCTTCCTGGATCCAAGGGTGGAACCTCCCCACAAGACTGGGTCTATCCCCTCGGACAGGTTAGGAAGGAAGGAAAACGAGCTGCGACAGCCGCCATACAGCAGGACACACAGGGGAGGGGGTTTGAGGGGCTTTCATAACGAAACGCACTGGAGGGGAGGGGTCAGAGAAAGAGAAGTAGGGGAAGAGAGAAAAAGCCGAGAGGAGACAAGATGCACAGAGAAAGGAGGAGCTGAATGTGGCCTGGACTCCAGCCCCGGCCGTTGTCTGGGGGGTGCGGGGTGGTGAGTCGGTGCTTGCGGCACATCATGGGGGTCATAGCAGGCCTGTGGCTGGGGAAACAGGCTGAAGAAGACCACTCCAGGGTGGACGGGCTGGGGGCAGGGGCTGCTTGAGATGACAGCAGAGCCTCTCTCAGGGCAAGGCAGGGGGAGTAGTGGCTACTGATACTCAATAGGGTCATCACACAAGAGGACAGCAGCAGGGCAAAGCCCCGGCTCCCCTGTCTGCCCACGGGCCTCCTGAGGGAAGAGGGGTGTCGTGTGGGGTGCCCCACACAGGACTCAGCACCAGCAGGTTTTTGAAGAGTTCGCTGGGCCCTCGGGTTTGCCCTCCTCCTCCTCCAGCTCTGCCAATGCCAACTCATTGCTGGCACGTGTCCGGAGGCCTTCCAGCTCTTTCCTATGGGCCTGCAGTACCAGCTCCGTCAGACGCGTGAATGACTGGAAACCAAAGGGCACAGGTTAGTCCAGTGTCTCTTCCTCTCCTCTGGCAACCCTGCAGGGGCCCAAGGGATGAGGTCCATCTTATGGCTCCTCCTCCCGCCTCTGCTGGACTCAGCCTGAGAGCAGGTGCCTGGTCGCCAGGGCTCTCACCTCTTTAATGTTGAGGTTGGTGCAGGCACTTGTTTCATAGAAGTCCATGCCATACTCCTTCGCCAGCTGCAAGAGAAGGACATTTCTGAAAGAGAGTAAGGCAGGGGAGGAGCCCACACAACCAGGCACAGGCTTCTGCCACTGCACTTAACCATGCTGTGTTGTGACGATTTCTCAGAGTAGATAATTTCTCAGATGGGACTGGGAGCTCCAAGACAGGGTAGCAGAGAATGGGAGAAGATCCTCCACAAATACACCTCTCCATTCTTCCAGCTGCCACCCCACACCCCTCAACACACAATCATATATCAGGAGATAAAGACACCATCCATTGTGGCAGTGTGGCATCTTCATACAAAACATGGGCTCTGGAGTCCCACAGTCCCAGACCTGAGTAGCAGCACTGCCACCGACAGCTAGCTGTGCAACCTTGGACAAGTTGTTCATTCTCTGTAAGTCCCAGCTTTATCTTCTGTTAAAGGAGACTGAGAGTGTCTCCCATCCATGGTTGTGGAATGATTAAATGGGGTCATGCACTTAAAAGCACTTGGCTTAGCATAGTGCCACACATAGAGTGCTCAATAAATACTATCCTAGTAGGCTTTGCCTCTACTTTCAAATTGGTCAATGACCATGTCTTATATTTTATACCAAACAATCAGTTTCATTTTAAGTACTAATGGAAGGCTATTGACTAAGAAGGGAGAGGAAAACTCTTGAGATCCATGGACTGGGTGGATAACTTGTCTCAGAAATACCAATTTTGGTTGGGCGTGGAGGCTCACGCCTGTAATCCTAGCACTTTGGGAGACCTGGTGGATCACCTGAGGTGAGGAGTTCGAGACCAGCCTGGCCAATATGGCAAAACCCCATCTCTACTAAAAATGCAAAAAAATTAGCCAGGCGTGGTGGCATGCACCTGTAATCTCAGCTACTTGGCAGGCTGAGGCAGAAGAATTGCTTGAACTCAGGAGGCAGAGGTTGCAGTGAACCAAGATGGCACTACTGCACTCTAGTCTGGGTGACAAAGCGAGACTCTGTCTCAAAAAAAAAAAAAAAGAAAAAAAGAAAAAGAAAAAATTAATGACCAATATTTCTTTCTGCACTCTGGGAGGATGGTCTCCCTGCAAGCTTGGACATTTCCTCAGTGCCATCCTCCTACCCTTTCCGCCCCCATGGCTTCTCCAACTGTGGCTCTTTGTCTCCTCATTTGCCTCCTGGCTCTTTCCTGGGTAAGAAGGACAGGAGTGGGGGAGTGTGGGGTGGAATGGGAGATCATTTCCTGACCATAACGTGGCAGCTAGGCCTGGATGCTGTCAGAGAAGTTGACAACTTGAAGTCCTTCATCACTAACACAGGGATGATCTCTTAAGCAGAGGGCAATCCTGCATTTGGGGACCTGGACTTGGGAGAGTTGCTGCCTATGACATCTTTGTTTCTGGATGGACCCCGAATCTCTGTGCTTCTGTCCTAAAACCCAGAGAACAAGCCTTCCGAGGATGGCCACTCCCCCAGGGCCTTGGGGTGCTGGGGACACGTGGGAGGACTTGCCGCTGGGGAACCCACCCCTGGATCCTCGTGCTCAGGACTGGCCCTAGAGGCCCAGCAGAGGACCTGGGGTGGACTTGCCTTTTCCCTCCACTTACCTGCTGCCCTTGCTCTCTTCCCACCTGCCGTTTCTGCTCCTCGTCAGCCTTATTCCCAATAAGGATCTTCTGGACGCCTTCTGGTGCGTACTAGGGACAAAGGATGGGCAGAACGGCCAGTGAGTGCTGTCCCCTGCCCCATTTTCCCCACAGAGTCTGCACTGCCTCCAGCCCACCACCAATTCCAGAGTCCTAGGGACAGGGTGGGCTGACTGGATGCAGGTGCCAGACTTCCCCAAGTGCCATGGCTGACTTCAAGGGTATCATGGGGACAGCTCAGGGTAGAAGACACTCTGGCTAAGACTGGTGCTTCCTTGGGTTGGACCACTGGTATCAGAGCTGGAAAGGACATTGGATGTAAGTCCAGCCCTCATTCTACAGGAATTGGGGACCCAGAGGATTCAAATGGCTTCCCGAGGCTCCACAGCGATTGTGCAGAGCCAGCACTAGATCCCAATCTTGCAACTCCATCTGGTCCAAGATTCCAGGAAAGAAGCTTCTCACAGGGCAGACTTGGAACTAATTCATTTCTGGGGAAGACATAGCCACGGAGGCCTGGCAGGGTATGGAGAGTGAAGGCATGGCAGCTTCGGTCTCTTCCCCATGTCTTACTCACCCAGAGGTCTTCATCCAGGGCTGTGGAAGGCAAAGCTTCCTGGGAGCATTTGCTCACCCACCCTGAGAGCTCCGGCCTTCCCATCTGGCCCTCGCCTTGCCTTCCCCGGTGAGGTACCCTCTCTGCGCCCCAGCAGTGAGGTGGCATCTCCTACCTCATCCACGTCACTGACCCACTTCATGATGTGCTGGTAAGAGCGTTCGCTGCTAATGTCATAGACCAAAAATATCCCCTGAGAGAGAGAGAAATAGAGAGATGTATGTGATACGCACAGAGAGAGTGCAGTCATGGGGACAGAAGGGCCGTGGAACCTTAAAGGTTGGGTCCCACTCTCCCTTCTCCCTGCTTAGCACCCAGAAATGTCTGTTCTGTCAGACCCCACCACTGCCGCCTCCCAGGCCCATCACAGAACTCTCTACAGCAGGAAGGCACCACATGCTATGACCCGGATATTTGACCCAGGATGGAGGGCAGAAATCAGGGGTGAGGGCAGGGGCTGCCTGCAGTGACTGAGCCATGAACAATGGACAGACAAATGATCAGTGAACAGCTGAAAGATGCCCTGCACTCCTCAAAGCAGGCGAACCATGTTTAGGGGATCCATGCCACAGACATCTCAGATACCCAGAGCTGGGAATGTGGGTGGCACCTTCCCACTTTGAAACCCTCAACGTGGTGGCTTACCTGGGCCCGCCGATAGTACTGCTTTGTGATGGTCTGGTATCTCTCCTGCCCTGCAGTGTCCCTGTGGGAGAAAGCCAGTCCCTCAGAGGAGCAGGGACCATGGGAACAGACAGGGAGGGGAAGAGCAGAGCTGTCCTCTTGCAGGAAAAACTGGGGAGCTGCAGGGTGAAAAACCAGAGGTGCTTGGATCCCCACAGGGATCTGCAGTCAGAGGCCTGGTCATCTGTGCTGGTGCTGACCAGGCCTGCAGGGCCTTGGCCCCTCCTGCCAACTGCCCTCCTGGCAGACACCAGAAGCCACAGCCAGAACAGGACTTGGACAGCTCTCTGGAATCTGGCCACTGTGGCCAGATTTGTTTGGATGGGAGTTGGCAGGGGATGCTGCCACACCCCCAGTCCCTATGGGACCTCTGAAGGCAGTGCCCATACTGCTGTGGAATTGAGAGGGAGCTCTAAACCCTGGCAAAGGCAGTGCTTCCAAGACTCAGGCAGAGAGCCACAGCAACACCCTCTGCTACTGTGGAAACTGCACCGTGCTGTCCTGAGGAACTCTCTCAGGGTCTCGCCCTAAATGATGGGGGGTGTAGCCTCCTTCCTTCCAATCTTAACACCGTGTGGCACAGCCCAAGGGCAAAGCCTAATCCATGGGGAATCCTAATTCCCCATGGTTAGTGTGCCAATTCCTTCTCATTCCTGCCCTTTGGTGCTTGTAGTCAATCCCATAAAGTTTCTTAGAGGTTGGAGATTAAGGCTCATAGGAAGAGATGGGCTTCTGAGACTTTGCTTCTCTCCATCATAGAGGTGGTCAGTTATCCCAGGTGAAGCCTAGGAATTTTACACATGGCAGGGGCAGCTAAGGAGCAGCCCGAGGTACTCTCCTCCTACATCTGCCTCCTCTTCCTCCCCACCAACTCACCAAATCTGTATCCGCACTTTGATGCCGTCTACCTCTATGGTCTTCATCTTAAAGTCAACACCTGGAGAAAGGAAGAAAGCAAGAAAGTTAGAAAGGGCACCCATGAGAAATGAACAGGAAAGGGCCATGCAATCAATCACACTTGAAAGGTTTCCTTTCAGTTTAATTTGGCAAAGGGATGAAGTAATGTAAAGGCCTTCTTTAAGCAGGAACTGACCTTAAGGAAGTATCTGAAGCTTTGAAAGGGGCTTTCCTTCCTCCCTGAGCTGAAAGTTGCCAAAAGTGAAGGGCCTGGGGGACCAGGAGGAGGAGAGTGAATCTGGGGACATCTACTTCATCACTGCCTTACTCAACAGACTTAAAACATGTCTCATTCTAGTCATGTGTGAAGTCTTCCTATTTATACTTCTGGAGTGAATGCTGTGTTTATCCTTCCTGAAATTCTAATCTCTAGGAATAGCAACCCGCATTATTTGCCGGCTTTCTTCCCTCTCTCTCTCTCTGCCTTGTTAATAACCAGAAGGGGTCATAGTGCCAGACCGTGGAGAGAGGAGGGCTCTTCCAACCCGTGATCGTACCTGAAGCCTCAGCACCCAGCCAAGGCCCACCAAAAAGGCCTCATGCATCTTGGTTGCTGACTCACCCATTCACCACAGGAGGCGCTGTGGTTGACTAGAAGGAGCATGGGCTTTGGCGTCAGGCCTGAGCTTATCTCCTTACTCTGGCCACTCATAGCTCATTGCTATAACATCAGGCACCTTGCTTCACTGAGCCTCCATTTCCACCTCAGTAAATGTCTTCATCAGGGACGTTACCAATATCTCAGAGGGTTGCTGAAGGAGCTGGATGAGATACAGCACCTGACCCAATTGACTACAGCTGTCATGAGCTAGTGCAGGGCTGGGTACATGCGGGTGCTTGTGAATGACTGTCATAGGACCAGATGAAGAGGTAGTGGCATGGCATGTCACTGCGGAAGGGAGAGGAAGCACAGAGTTCCCACGCTGCTTCATCCAAGGACTGAAGGAGCTAAGCTGCCACGAGACACAAGAAACACGAGGGATTTGACAAACGTGTCCAGGGCAGAAACATATTGGAGAAATCTGCAGCAAAGAAGTCAGCACCACCAGCAGCAGCCAGCTTGACTCTGAGTGACAACAGAGAGATGAGGGAGGTTGATTTGCTCACCATGCCTCTCCTCAACCCTAACTATACCCAGGCACTATGCCCAGGGATTCAAGAGCTATGTCTGGTGAGTGAATTAAGCTTACGTCTTTGTGTACTCCCTGGAGCAAGGTCAGGAGTGGGCAGGATCAGCCACAAGTTTCAGATGGGAACATGGTAGACTTCTGAACTGTCTACCAGCAGCTGCACTGCCCGGCCCAGGAGGCCTGAAGGTGCCAGCATCACCACTGCCACTCCACCTCCGCATCAGTTATTTGCCAAATGGGAGACATCTTCCCTTATCCGTGCTGTCCCCAGCTTTCTACAAAGGCAAACAAATTAAATTCTGTCTTTTCCTTCCCACCATCAAGACCAATCATCATTTAATTACAAGGGAAAAAAGATGCAGAACGGGCAACCTGAACTAAATCGATTTGGTCAGACGTGAATCATTTTTCGCCTGCCCAAGCTGATTCATAGCCATTGAGCTGTACTTTTCCAAATGGGCAATGCCTGGCAGCCATTCTTCCATGTGTGCAGAGAAAGAGTGAAGAGGAGGAGGGAAGAAGGAAGGAAGGAAGGAGAGAGGCATCAGGCCTTGGGAGGCAGTAGTATGCTTATTCCTGCCTGGATCCGTGGTTATCAGGCACCTGTTTCTCCCCAGTACCTGGCATAGAAGGGAATCAAGACATTCTTGTTTCATGATATAGCACCTTCTCCCAAGAAGAACGAGAGGTTTTCTCCAATTTGTAATATACCTGGTTTATCCTCACACTAGCCTAGCAAACCTGGCCAAGGACAGTGCCTTGTGCAAAGCCATCACAAGGGGGACAGGAAGAGAGAAGGTTTTATTTCCTTTATCCCACAAACATTTACGGGAACTTCCTATGTGCCCTGCATAGTGCTCAGTGCAGACAGAGCAGTGAAAAAGACGTGGCCCCTGCCCTCAGAGAGCCTAGTGGAAAGGAAATAAGGGCTCAGAGAGGTCAACGGCTAGCCAGGGTCAGCACAGCACATGCAGAGATTCCAACACAGGTCCATCTGTGCCAGAGCCCATGCTGCCCCTTGCACTGGTTCTTAGGGGAGCGAGAGGAGAGTCACGTGTAGTTGGCTAGGCATGGAAGCCCTAACTCTGCTTAGTTTCCTGTTTGCCTGTGGATGCTTGAGAAGGACTTTGCTAGGAGAGGAACTTCTAATATTAAGGTGAATTTTTCCCTGTGAGAGAAGAGGAGATGGAGGGAGACATGAAAGCAGGCAACTGTCCCCAGAGACAGGACTGACAAGGAGACAGGGTACTCCACCGGAAGTGAGGCTGGGTGGTGACTCCTTCCCTCCTCCCTTACTTCTTTTTTTTTTTTTTTTTTTTTTTTTTTTTTTGAGACGGAGTCTTGCTCTGTAGCCCGGGCTGGAGTGCAGTGGCCGGATCTCAGCTCACTGCAAGCTCCGCCTCCCGGGTTTACGCCATTCTCCTGCCTCAGCCTCCGGAGTAGCTGGGACTACAGGCGCCCGCCACCTCGCCCGGCTAGTTTTTTGTATTTTTAGTAGAGACGGGGGTTCACCGTGTTAGCCAGGATGGTCTCGATCTCCTGACCTCGTGATCCGCCCGTCTCGGCCTCCCAAAGTGCTGGGCCTCCTCCCTTACTTCTTAGCTATGTGGCGGGGGACCAAGGCTGGGGAATTTTGGGGCTCACAGCACTCTCCGGCCTCACCCACACCCCACCATCTTGCAACCTAGGTCTCACTGGCCACCTGGGCACATGTGTTTTATTCACCTTTTGGCTATCCATATGCATTCACATATGATGGAAGAAACAGAGTAAGTCTGTGTCTTCTGAAGGATTTTCCTTCCTCCCTCCCCACCCATACAACCTTTCTTAAATTTAAAAAAGGTTAACAGCCCAAGGATCTTCAAGAGGAATCTATTGCTTCTGCGCTCTTCCCACACAGCCTGGGCCTTCCGCTGTGTCCACCTACCAGTCAAGCCCTGGCCCCAGTAACCCGTGCCCATCGTGGCTCCTTCCCTCTCCCTACGTGGCTGTTGGTTTTTTCCACTGCTGAGCACTGCAGGACAAAGTCAACACGCTGGCCTTATTGAGGCCTCTGCAGACGGATGCTTTCTCACCTTGGCCAGCCCTCGCAGCTGCTTAGCAAACTGTTTATTCACATGCGTGTTCACCTCACTGTCCTCCCACTGAAGGCTTCAGCTCCAGGGCACCCCCTCCCCACCCCTGCTCCCCACCCCTGTACTCTCAGCTGTTTTATGGCCCAGATGAATGCCTTTCCTCTGAAGCCACCTCCTTTCTTCAGGTTTTCCTCTGTTCTCTCTGTCTTCCCTCAGGGAATAGTCCTCTATCCACATCTCGCCTCTTGTCGGTCCTCATCAGCCCCACCTGGGTACACACCCAGAGAGTCAGCCCTTTTTGTTGCATCTTTAGTATCCGTGGGAAGAAGAGATATTCTCCATCTATCTCTGCCTCCAGTGGTTTAACATTCTGGCACCTCTAAGGGCATATTTCTCAAATTTCCAGGTGCATGAGAATCACGCAGGGATTGAGTTAAAATGCAGATTCTGATCTGGTAGGTGTGGGGCAAGGCCTGAGATGCTGCAGGAAGCTCCCAGATGAACATGATGCTACTGCCCACATATCGCCTGAGTAACAAGCTGTTCTCAAAGTGTATCCCTGGACCCGCAACATCAGCATCACCTGGGATTGTTAGAAATGCAAATTCCGGCCACACGCAGTGGCTCACGCCGGTAATCCCAAGACCTTGGGAGGCTGTGGCGATTGGATCACCTGAGGTCAGGAGTTTGAGATCAGCCTGGCCAACATGGCGAAACCCCCGTCTGTACTAAAAATATGAAAATTAGCTGGTCATGCTGGCAGGCACCTGTAATCCTAGCTATTCGGGAGCGGGTTTGGGATGCGGAGCTGAGACAGGAGAATCGCTTTAACCTGAGAGGTGGAGGCTGCAGTGAGCTGAGATCATGCCACTGCACTCCAGCCTGGGCAACAGAGCAAGACTCTGTTTAAAAAAAAAAAAAAAAAAAAAAAGAAGAAGAAGAAAAGAAAAAGAAATTATTGGGCCTTACCTCAGACCTATAGAATCAGGCCCTCTAGGTATGGGGCCCCGCAGTCAGTTTCAATAAGCTCTCCTGGTGATTCTCATACATGCATAAGTTTGAGAACTACATTTGGACAAAAGTTTTGCACCTGAAGTGTCAAGAGAGGGAGCATAAGAATTCTCTGTTTCTCAGTGTGTGCTTTGCAGAGCTTCAGCTTTAGAATCACCTGGGGTGACTCAAAACAAAAACAAAAACAATGACCTTGACTTACCTAGACCTACTGAATCATAATTTGAGGGTGAGGCCCAGAAACCTGTATTTTTAACAGCACTGTGGGTAATACTAGATAGAAGAAGGTTCAAGAGCTATATATGTCATGGAAGAAACATCCATTGGCCTGAAGTCAGAAAGACCTGTTCCAAATCCTGGTTCTGGCACTTGCTGTGTAACTTCAGGCAAGTCTTAACTTCTCCTAGCTTCGTTTTTGTTTTTGTTTTTTTGAGATGGAGTCTCACTGTGTTGCCAGGGATGGAGTGCAGTGGTGCAGTCATGGCTCACTGCAGCCTCAATCCTCCAGGACTCAAGAGATCCTCCCATCTCAGCCTCTGGGTAGCTGGGACTACAAGCATGCACCACCTTGCCCAGCTAATTTTTTTTTTTTAGTTTTTGTAGAGATGAGGTCTCCCTGTATTGCCTAGACTAGTCTTGAACTCCTGGGCTCCAGTGATCCTCCCGCCTCAGCTTCCCACAGTGCTGGGATTACAGGCATGAGCCTCCGCACCAGGTCCATTTTCTTAAGTGTAGAAGGAGAACACCACTTCCCTCCCAAGGGC